TAAAATGTAGACATATCTATGTGTATACTAATTAGGTATATCCATGTGTATACTAAATAGGTATATCCATGTGTATACTATAAAGCTATATCCATGTGTATACTAAATTGTTATATTCATGTGTGTAATATAAAGTTTTTTCTTATGCACATCGTTGCACATGCGACTGCTTAGCTATATGTGCATATTTGCCATTAGGATACTTAAAGCTCACCTAAATACCTCTCCCTCACCCATCTACAGCAATCGCTGCCAGGCGTGCAAGCGGAGGTAGTAGTAGACAATGTGGCAAGCCTGCCGTACAATTTCATTTGGTCTGTGCTGTCCCAGGACGAGAACCCAGCCGCAGGTAGATCGAATCAGTTGTTCTTGGTAAAGTCTCAGTTACTTTGAATAATATTTATTGGTACATACGCGGATACAATGAAATATGTCTAATATATAGACGCAGGTACAATAATTACAAATATTGGTATAGGCGCAGGTACAATGAATTATATCTATTAGTATATACGCAGATACAATGAAATATGTCTAGTGGTATAGGCGCAGGTACGATGGATTCGTGCATCTTACAGTGCCCTGTATGGTTGATCGACAACGATCGGAGTCCGGATTTTCATTAGTACATTTTATTGTCAGATAAAAACCGAGCGGCAGAGATGACTTCATTTGGAATTTGTCTGATTAATCTGCAGATTTAGGTTGCTAGGGGTTCGTCTGTTTCTCGTTGCCATGATAACACTCGCTCTGAATGATGCATGGTGCCTACCACATACCCCCCATTCTCCAATGCGTGAATGGCGTGTTGCCCCTCGGGCCTTACTATTCCTATTGACCGGAGTCTGCCTTGCACGTTACACACTTTCATCCAATCTCTGTGTGTAGTTACACACTTCCATTGACACTTTCAATCTCATTGATCCATTCAATGGATGGGCTACAGTGCCTTTGCGGATAATCTCTGGTGCTCCATTGGGCACACATCTGTTCACGCAGATTGTGTTGTCGGATAGCTTGGTATGTCTGACACGCAAACGCTGACTCCAATCATTTCACATATAATTTAATGTGTTC